TTTTTACTATCTATTCTTTTAAAAAGAAATAAATAAACAACATTGAAATCAATTAAAAATAAACTCTGAACCAATCAAAAATTCAAAAAATTATTAATAATAACATCTTCAATATTTTGCTTGGAGGTTTTAAGTTTAAAAATAAATAATTGCACTATAATTTACTTGATGAGTCTGAACCTGTTGATTAAATTAAACTGGTTACATAATGTAAAATTAATTCGGGTAGAATCCTCTAAGGAAATTGGCCCCATTTTTCTTGATCGTTTAATGTAATTAGAGAAAGAAACACGCGAAACGGGGTCTTTGCATGCAGGCCACGGTAGGTGGATAATCCCAGCGGATGTTCCGCATCGATCGTGCATTTCAATAGGCTCTCCGGTTGCAAAATCCACTTTGGCCGGCGCACCATCAAGGCCCGAGTCATTATTCGCCCGCCTTCTTTACACAAAGGCCGCTTCATCATCACAAAGTTTTCGGGCGGCAAACACAAAGTCGCGGATGCTGTGCTCCTTCTTTCGCTAGTTTTCTGCTTCTTGATTGATTACCCGCTGTTTAGGAATGATAAGCGACGTCGCTGCGCATTATGCAGTCATCCGTCTCCGCTAAATGGAGCGCGAAATGAAATAATCGAGTGCAGGTTGCTCGCTCGCTCGCCTGCCAGACGCCCTATGCAACCCGCAGGACAGCTGTGCGCGACCGGCCGCATAAAGCTTGTTCGGGCAGGCGTCTGCACGCCGGCGGAAGTTTGCCCGCCGCGTCAGCTTTGTTTTAGTGCCCTTTGAAAACGCTTCGGACGCAGTCGGAGAATTACCGTATTTTTCTCTCTGGAAAACAAACATCCTGGGTGAAAAATAGAACTAATTTAATAATAATTATGAGAGAGGTTGATTGTTAAGAGCTAGAGCAGCAAAGCCAGCAAAGGACGTGATTATTTCAACCTTGGGAGTTTTAGAAACGTTCTTGCTAGTAATGGTAGCGTTTTGTCCCAAAATTTACTCAATTTGGAATAATTATAAACAGTGAATAAAATAATAATCTACAAACATCCAAAAATAACTTTGTTCCCATAAAAATATTGATTTTCCCAAAAGCATATATGGAAAAGAAACTGAAAAACATATTTTGTATTTTTTCAATTGGAACAAATAAACAAAAATAATAATTGATTGTAAGATTTTTATTTGTGCTTAAAAATTATTATTTTTGACATTCTTAAAATCCTATAAGAGTCATTTTTAGTTAGTTTAAACTAAACTTAAAATTACGTTTCATTTTTGTCTTATTTATTAGAATTGAGTTGACTTTGATTTTTACGTTCACTAATGTATTGAGACAATTTCAATTTCTAAAAAGAAGTTAGGAATCAAACACTTCTATAATTTTTTTATGGAATTTTTTTATATCTTGAAGGATTATTATGCTTAATATCAGTTAACATTTCCTCAAACATCGACGAAACTCGAAATTTCAAACACATTGTTTCATCTATGTCCCGGGAACTTAATATTTATGAGCACGAAAAACTCAACTAAAATAGTCTGGGTTTTACATTTTTTTAAAGAATTTTTTAATCTCAAAGTAAACGAGCTTCTACCTTTGCTAGATATTCCTCCGACTGTCCCAAAGCCTGGAAATTGCAATTATTGCTGTCTGTGCAGATCAAAAGCTTATCCTCTGAAAACAGGACGACGTGTCCGTTGGATTGTCGCGTCGGCCATAGAGTGGGTCGGCCGGCAGGAATCCTCCCAGGGCAGTGCTCGGATTAAAATCAGCTCGCCGCAAGCGCCGCCATTAATTCTGTCGGCATTGTGCAGTGCAAATGCTATAACGAACGTATTATTTGCGGGTCACAAGAGTTGCTCCAATTAATGCATTCACGCGTGTTTGCGTTGAATTATTTACAACGCTTTCGCAATTGCCACGATAATAATTAATAATATGCCGCAAATGTACTGTGACGCGCCATCTGACGGTCGCGTAATTTTCTGCGGTTTTATGTTGCAATTTTCATCATGGAACTCGGTTAAAATATAACTTTTTTCCTGATAGTTGTGTAAAAATTAAAGAAATTACACAAACACGAGGGCATTTAAATTTTCTGAAAATTATTTCCAATTTAACAGCAAGTCGGTAACTTAAGTCTTAATTTCAAATTTTAATTCCCTTATAAATATATTAAATTTGTTTCTTTTAGTATCACCTGAGCAAATACCATTACTTCAAAAATAAACGACTTTGAAATAAATTTAAAAGTGTTTAATGAAGAATAGAATTGAATCCTGTAACTGATTAGATAAAATTAAATCATTTCAAGATCTTTATTTGTTATAATACTACGACCTTTTTAAAAGAAACAGAACTTGAATCATACATTGTAAGTGTTTGAAACAAATTGTTGCAGAATTATTTAAATAAAATTAGATATTAAAATAATGTTTAGCGCCAGGTCAAAAAGTAAATAAATTTAAGGTCGACGTCTAAAAGCGTCTCTGAAATAGTCAATGATTTGACAAAAAAATAGCAAAGTTCATTGCCAAGAGACGTGATTTTATTTTGAACCTTGAAATTGGAGGATTAAAAAATTCATTTTTCAGTTTTCACACAATTTCTGAATTAATCGTCTTCAGTAAAATTCCAGAAAATTAAAAGCGCCAGGTCAAAAAGTAAATAAATTTAGGTCGACGTCTAAAAGCGTCTCTGAAATAGTCAAAGATTTGACAAAAAAATAGCAAAGTTCATTGCCAAGAGACGTGATTTTATTTTGATCCTTGAAATTGGAGGATTAAAATATTCATTTTTCAATTTACACACAATTTCTGAAATAAACGTCTTTACTAAAATACCAGTAAATTAAAAGCGCCAGGTCTAAAAGTAAAAAAATTTAAGGTCGACGTCTAAAAGCGTCTCTGAAATAGTCAATGATTTGACAAAAAAATAGCAAAGTTCATTGCCAAGAGACGTGATTTAATTTTGAACCTTGAAAGTTGAGGATTAAAAAATTCATTTTTCAAATTTCACACATTTTCTGAAATAATCGTCTTCAGTAAAATACCAGAAAATTAAAAGCGCCTGGTCAAAAATTAAATAAATTTAAGGTCGACGTCTAAAAGCGTCTCTGAAATAGTCGATGATTTGACAAAAAAATAGCAAAGTTCATTGCCAAGAGACGTGATTTAATATTGAACCTTGAAAGTGGAGGATTAAAAAATTCATTTTTTAATTTTCACACAATTTCTGAAATATTCGTCTTTATTAAAATACCAGTAAATTAAAAGCGCCAGGTCAAAAATTAAATAAATTTAAGGTCGACGTCTATAAGCGTCTCTGAAATAGTCGATGATTTGACAAAAAAATAGCAAAGTTCATTGCCAAGAGACGTGATTTAATATTGAACCTTGAAAGTGGAGGATTAAAAAATTCATTTTTTAATTTTCACACAATTTCTGAAATATTCGTCTTTATTAAAATACCAGTAAATTAAAAGCGCCAGGTCAAAAATTAAATAAATTTAAGGTCGACGTCTATAAGCGTCTCTGAAATAGTCAATGATTTGACAAAAAAATAGCAAAGTTCATTGCCAAGAGACGTGATTTTATTTTGAACCTTGAATGTGGAGGATTAAAAAATTCATTTTTCTTTTTTCACTCAATTTCTGAAATATTCGTCTTCAGTAAAATACCAGTAAATTAAAAGCGCCAGGTCAAAAAGTAAATAAATTTAACGTCGACGTCTAAAAGCGTCTCTGAAATAGTCAATGATTTGACAAAAAAATAGCAAAGTTCATTGCCAAGAGACGTGATTTAATATTGAACCTTGAAAGTGGAGGATTAAAAAATTCATTTTTTAATTTTCACACAATTTCTGAAATATTCGTCTTTATTAAAATACCAGTAAATTAAAAGCGCCAGGTCAAAAATTAAATAAATTTAAGGTCGACGTCTATAAGCGTCTCTGAAATAGTCGATGATTTGACAAAAAAATAGCAAAGTTCATTGCCATGAGACGTGATTTTATTTTGAACCTTGAAATTGGAGGATTAAAAAATTCATTTTTCTTTTTTCACTCAATTTCTGAAATATTCATCTTTAGTAAAATACCAGTAAATTAAAAGCGCCAGGTCAAAATAAAGTAAAAAAATTTAAGGACGCACGTCTATAAGCGTCTCTGAAATAGTCAATGATTTGACAAAAAAATAGCAAAGTTCATTGCCAAGAGACGTGATTTTATTTTGAACCTTAAAAGTGGAGGATTAAAAAATTCATTTTTCAATTTTCACACAATTTCTGAAATATTCGTCTTTAGTAAAATACCTGTAAATAAAAAGCGCCAGGTCAAAAAGTAAATAAATTTAACGTCGACGTCTAAAAGCGTCTCTGAAATAGTCAAAGATTTGACAAAAAAATAGCAAAATTCATTGCCAAGAGACGTGATTTAATTTTGAACCTTGAAAGTTGAGGATTAAAAAATTCATTTTTCAAATTTCACACATTTTCTGAAATAATCGTCTTCAGTAAAATACCAGAAAATTAAAAGCGCCTGGTCAAAAAGTAAATAAATTTAAGGTCGACGTCTAAAAGCGTCTCTGAAATAGTCAATGATTTGACAAAAAAATAGCAAAGTTCATTGCCAAGAGACGTGATTTAATTTTGAACCTTGAAAGTGGAGGATTAAAAAATTCATTTTTTAATTTTCACACAATTTCTGAAATATTCGTCTTTATTAAAATACCAGTAAATTAAAAGCGCCACGTCTAAAAGTAAAAAAATTTAACGTCGCACGTCTATGAGCGTCTCTGAAATAGTCGATGATTTGACAAAAAAATAGCAAAGTTCATTGCCATGAGACGTGATTTTATTTTGAACCTTGAATGTGGAGGATTAAAAAATTCATTTTTCAATTTTCACACATTTTCTGAAATAAACTTCTTTAGTAAAATACCCATAAATTAACAGCGCCAGGTCAAAAAGTAAATAAATTTAAATCGCGATCCGTATTATGATATTAATTAAATACCTTGAATATTATAGATAAATTTTATTCACAGATATAGCTTAAATAATATGGAGGAAATTCACAATTGTCCCCATACCAGCCGCCACTCATGACCCTAAAGTTGATGCACCTGTCCTCTGAGTTGTCCTCACTCGGTTGTCCAGGGCCCCAGTGAAATTCACTGATCGGGACCGACGGCTCTCTCAGCCAAACCCACTCGCTCGAATTGGCAGCTCTGAAGCCATCCGTCCAGAACCAGAAGCTTTCGAAGCCTATTTGCCAACAAAGAGGTCACTGGTCATATTTTTAAAGCAAAATATTTAATCCCGACCTAGCTGCTGGAAGGCCTGGCGCACCGCCGTGTACTCGCCGGGCCCTTCAAAAGTCACCAGAGACAGATTCAAAGCGGCGCACTCGGCCTTCGATTCGATCCACGTGTGCTGAGGAAAAAAAAAAGAAAAACAGTGAACGGTCGGGTGCTCGCGTGAGTCAGTCTGGTGAGCTAATCAAATTTGAGCAGCGAGATGTGCACTTACCGACGCGAGTTTCACAAAGTACTCCTTGCCGCTGATGTTGACGAACTCGCGCACTTGTTGTTCGCCAACTGCGACATCCAAGAGTAGTGCAATATAATTAATTAATTTGTATAGCTTTACTATTAGAGTTGAGTGTTTTGCCATCAAGGGCTTAAATGAATAATTTCAGTGATTTTTTTTAGTAAAAATTGACTGTTATGTTGAAAATCGATTAACTTAATAAAATTTGATCTAAAACGGCTGAAAATAGCTTTTAATTATTTATTAGACGCAAAATTTATAATAATTTTTTAATTTAGAAATTTACTGAAGTCGACCAAATTTTATTCCAAGATTTGCTATGACTATTTCAATGTCACAAATCAATACGTCATGAATGAAATGCTCACAATCAGCTCTAATTGTAAATAATATAAATAAATATTAGCTAAGAAATTCCTTTTTAAATTTAAGGCAAACCTTGTGAAGAAACGGAACCCTTTTCAATCGAGCATAGAGTAAACTGAAAGTAAATTAATTTAAATTAAGACTAAATTAGTTTCTTTCATTGGGCTTACCGAAAAAATAGAAATCAACAGGACGACGAAAAGATTTTGCTTTAGATTAAACATCATTGTGAAGAGATTTTCTCTGTTGTCTCGACGGCGATGTTGTCGTAAATGAAAATTAATTATCTTCCTTTGTAATTCTGTGACTTTGCTCAGTTATAATCACAAAGGGAGATTAGTAATTGGAGCTTTCAAAAATAAGTCGATAAGAAGCCTGATATTGATAAGAAACCGGTCTTTGTTTAAATTATTTGTTGATTTAAAAGTGATTAACTTTTTTGATTGGAACCTTCAGTCAATTTTAATAATTTATACAAACTAAAAATTACCAAATTACTTTTGAAAAGATCACTAAGGGAATAAAATTAGCATGAAAATACAAAAAAATTATTCATGGTTTTATAAGATTTATTATTTTGTGATGCATTTTTGGTGTTATTCACAAATATGTCCAAGAACGAAATTGTTCTCGCATGGGTCGTCATCCCAGCCACCCGAATCCACTCTGAAACTCACGCAATAATCGACAAGCTGATCGGTTGCGGGATTTCCAGGAATCCAAAAGAACTCTGTAATAAGCGCCCCACCCGTTTCCCAATACCAGACGTCAGAATACTTGTTCCTTCTTGCCGAAGTCCAATACCAGTGTCTTTCCATACCTATAATTTTTTTTTACATAAATCATATCTCTAAATAAGCTCTTTTTTTATACCAATGTTTCTCAAAGCATCCAGAATTGCGAGATATTCTCCTTGCTCGTCAAAAGCGATCAACTGTTTTCCTTGATTCAAACAGTCTTGCTCTGCCTCTGGTTTGTAAACCTTTTGAAATTTTCAAAATAAGATTATAAATTTTTTTGAGAGATTTGAATTACTCACAGCTCCAGCGGTGACTGAATAAGTTTTTCCATTCACATTGATCTCAACTCTCGATCCTTATCGTAATAATAATAATAATAATCATTTACTGAATTAATTATTTTTAATTGTGAAATTCAAACCTGCAACCCTTTGCTCAGTACTTTTAGAACTAGATGCATCTCCGATCTAAATATTACAAAATTTATAAAAATTAATGTTTCACTTTCTTGTGAATTTAGAAAACCTGTATTGTTAGAAACAGAAGTAATAGGAATCCCAACAGTGATGATGTCGCCATGGCTCAAAACTGACAGTGGAGCCTCAGCAATAATGAATTTCGAAAGCAAAAATTATCAAGCAGCTTTATCATTTTAAAGTTTAGTAAAAGATTTTTGTCGTCAAAAGCCGCAGATTATCTGTTGAAAAACAATAAGATAAGCAAAGCAGTTACTTTAAAAAAACAGGTGTGAAATCAATGTACTTGGATGGGCTTTGGTTTTGCTGAAGTGAAGCAATTACGAGTTATATGGACACAAAAAGTAATGAAAAGGAAATGCAATTTTAAATTTAATTGAAATATTAAATTATTAATCAAAGTTGTAATGAAAATCAAATTAACTAGCAAAAAATTCAAAAAGTGTACAGATAGTTTCAATTTTTCTTGGTAATTTTAGGAATATATTTTATATAGTTTGTATTTAAATAAAAATACACATAATTCAGATTTCATTTTTTGATAGACATGCTATTTTGTTCTCCAGAAACATTTTTCTTCACATTCTTTCTCCCCCCCCCCCTACAATATTAATGATCCGAAAATAAGTATTTAAAAAAACTCATGTTTTTTTATAATTATTTGTGCTAGTAAGAGAGGCTGCAAAAATCAGAATTAACTAACTTTGTACTTAGTAATAATTTTTGAAAAGCTTAATTGTAAAACTAATTTTAGGAAGACAAATTAGCTTTAGACACCCGTTGTACACCTAGTTGTGTTCAATAAATACTCTATCTATCTATTACTGAAAAATTTTCATTATTTTTTCGGCGATTGTCATCATCGTTCTGTTCTTCACTCTCGATCGTGATTCAATATCTTGCCATGAAATATCACTCTCGAGCGGCGCGTATCACCTGCTGGCGTTAATTACATTCTTTCGGCATACAAGGCCGTGATGGCCAATTAGTGCGCCTTGTTAGCGCACAGCAAACACGGCGATAACGATCACAAATGATTATCGATCATCTGATTCATTTGCAATGTGTGTAAACCGGCAGCGAAAGGCTCTGCCAGAGAGACCGGCGAGGGTTGAACAACTACCGCGAATTCATTAAAATTCAAACAGACAAGCCGTGCACGTCCGTGCATTACCATGAATTCGAAATAAATTCCAATCCCATTACAAGAGCGAGCAAGGCCGGCTGCAAATACATACATTAATCACAAAATGCGCGCGAATATATTTCACACCGTCGCCGGGGTTCATTGCTCTCGACCGCGCACTCGCTTCAGTAATTAATGGTTCGCAGTCGGATGCTGCCCCGTTTTATCTTTGCATTCGCCGTTTGTCTTCATTTAAAAACAATCGGTCTTCGCGGAAATGCTGGTTGCTGGATAATCAGGGGCGATAAATCTCTCGGGAAAATCCACCGTCACCCGCGCGTTGACCGCTTCTAATGACATTGCGCGAGAGAGCGCTTTGATCATGCGACACACAGAAGTGATTGAGTTGACCGTTCGATAATGCAATTAATTTTCATTTCGCGTTTAAATGGATTTCGTAAAGGCTTTCAGTATCGGAAGCAAAATCAAATTCTCATTTTGAAAATTTGATTTTTATTTTTTTTATTATTATTGTTCTTTATTAATTATAAATTGAATCGAAGCATGAAGGAAATGAAAGGTAAAAGGTTTTTAGAAACAAAAAAGCTCTGCGCCAAGGTCAATCGCAATTTCATTTTTAGAACTTCTCTTATTTATATTATAATAATTATAATTATAATATCATATAATATGTATATGATAATATATTTTATCTTCTAATTTAGAATTTCAAGAGGTATTTAATTTAATTATCACATAGCAAAATACATCATATACTTACAGAATCAAGTTTGGAAAAGATGCAATTTATCTTTAAGGCAAGGTTTGATATTATCAAAAAAATTGCATTGAGAGCACTAAACATTATAAATAATTTAGTTAGGTTTTTAGAAGTATAAATAATAAATTTTAAGCATATTTAACTTGTGCAAATGCATATTTACTTCTAATTATATAATGAAAAAAGCAATAAATTTTTAATTTGCATTAAAAAATAAAATAAGTTTTTAAAGTATATCAAAACAAACCCATTCAAAAAATCTAAAAATTGATTTAACAAATTATAAATAGTAGTAAAAAAATCATTTATAACTTTAAAATTTTTTTAAAAAAAATTATCATTCGTTTCATTCTCCAGATACCTTGTATTGTATATTATACCTGCCTAAATAGTTATATTTCTCTTTACTTAATTGACATTTAAACCTTTTTGATATAAACATCACAATAATTACATCTTTAAATTTGAGATGTTAAGTAATTTAAATTTTAAATTTGTACACCTTTTTTTGCCTGGCTAAATTTAACTTTGATTTAAAAAAATTTTGACCAAAAATATCGCTCTTAATTATTCTAACTGAAGTGATTTTTTTGAAGCTCATGCATATTTCTGAAACTGGTGGTAGTTATGGGAGTCATTTTGTTGAACAGCAATCAATATTTAAATTGCATCCAATGTTTGCACATTGGGGTCAGTGTGCAAATACGTACATTCACAGTTGTCGGATCACTGAACAAATAGTAGTTCATGCTCTGTGTATGTGACTACCCTTTCACCCACAGCTATGCAATTGCATTTCCAATTGTTCGTCGTCATTAATGATCAAATATTTCCCAACTCTATGTGGGAAAAAGTATTAGTTTGATTCAAATTGATTCCGCTCAATTTATTTTTCTCCTGCAAATCAAACAGCAAATTATCAATTTATGAACGTAAAATTATTTTAACTTTTCGCAAACAATGAGCGATTAATAGAGGTAATAATTTCCTTTGTTTAAAATCTATTTGTGACTATCCTGATTGTTAAGTCTTCTATTGAGAGAGGTGAATAGGCAGTCATTGGATATCAGAAAGCTTGCTAATTAAAAAATTTAAAAAAATCCGTTCAAACGTTGAATTTTAGTAAATAAATTTATTTGTGACGAAGAAATATGTAAAAACTGTTGATATTTATGTGTTTAAAATTATTTTCAATAAAAATTGTGTACTTTTTTCCAAAATTTGAATGAAAAAATATTGTTCAATGATTGTCGCAACATTAAATTTATTGAGTATCAAAATTTATTATAGATTTAATGGAATCATGGATTTTTTTACTTTCTCAAAACATTAATTTAATTAAATTAGTAATGTGACTAATTTTTAACGATTTTCTTTTAAGTTTCTAGATCATTCAAAGTTTTAAAAAAAAAATTCTCGTTCATCTGTTAAAACTGGAGCCTAAGAACATCCCTGAGAAAACTTTCCCATAAATAAAAGACAAGTGGTTTTCCCATAAAATTCAAGACCACTTTAAGCACAGGCAATTCGGTCTTTAGTTGCATCGCCGTTTAAATTGAGTGGTAGGAAACTGTCCAGAGTTGAAACTGTCCAGGGGTTGAAACCGTCCAAAAGATGGAGGATTTACAAAAAACACACCCTTATATGGGGAGGAGTGAATTGTGAGGGCATGACCAAGAATAGTGAGAAATGGAATCGTATACAATATTTTTTAAGAGGGACAAATAATCGATTGCAATGATGTAATTATTTGTATCTTTTAATGCTTTCAATATTGGACAGTTTCCACCATTGAGTTGAAACTCTCCAGGGTTAGAAGTGGCACCGCTGTCGCTGGACAGTTTCACCTTCTGGGCAGTTTCAACTTATAAATAATGCTGCTAATTGTTATTCTCCAGTACTGGACAGTTTCCACCGTTGCGTTGAAACTCTCCACGTTTACAAGCGGCAACACTGCCGCTGGACAGTTTCACCTTCTGGAGAGTTTCAACTCTTGACAATTATCAATCAGGTATATTTTCTTGGACAGATTCACCCCTCTGCTACTCCCAGAATATAAATTGAGTGATATTTCGGTGACATATTTGGGTGATCTCGTTCCCATATATCCCTTATGGTTTATGGTGCTGACGCGGGGGCGGGCTTATTCAGGGACTTCAGAGTGCAAAAAGTTTCAGGTAGTGTCAAAAGGAGATGCTTGGTGGGGCGTAACGCAGATTCTTAACTATGAGTAAAGTATTAAATTTTATACAAGCAAAATTTGAAAATTACCATATAAATATGAGGTTGCAACTAATATTGTGAATATAATCAAAAAAGGGTAAAACGTGGTGTTTTCTGAAAACTTAACAAGAAATTTTGATTTTTATGTTTGGGAAATACCTGCCATAAAAACACTATGCATGCTTATATTTTTTATTAATAAAAAGAGATTGATTTCAATCCCACTCAAATTAAAAAGCTGAGGCCTATTAATTACTTTATTGTGGGTTATTTTACATTCCGTTGCGTTTACATAAATTGGTTTAGTTTTTAGTTAAAAATCACTGAAGGGCTTTAGGTTCACTATTAATTGTCTCGTGGATTTTCTCTCCCGCGGCAAATAAAGGTTAAATTATAAATGAAGTATCCAAAATTTGTATACGTCCCTGAGTAAGAAATCTGTAATTTTGTTGTGGCTCAGCGAAGGTGGCAAAGCAGCTCATTCAACCCTTTGTATAATTTGTTGTTTGCGACCTATTTCTTGCTCCAAGGGGAGGTTGTGAGCGAGCCAGAAATGCAGTCGATGAGGCACACTGGCGCACACAAAGGAAACAATAAAAATAGCCCAAAGGGTTCGTGCGCTGAGCGAAAAAGATCTTCCAGGAGAGGCAGTAAAAGGAAGAAAAATCTTTTTCGTCTCTCCTGCGGTCTGTGGAATCAGCTGATTGCTGCAAAAATCCATTTCAGTTTTTAATTATTTGCAATTGTTCTTAACGCAGCAAAATTATAAAGCGTGCATCATTAAATTCTAAATAAATATTTTTACTTTGCCTGTTTTTCTCAAATTTTTCGTAATATTTGAAGTGTCATTAAAATTAAAAAATGTGGATATTTGATAAATTTTGGAAAAAAGTTTCTTTTACTATCCTGAGACGTTTATTCTAGAATGGTAAAAGTTTTGTTTGTAAAATTCTGACCAGCAGTTTTCTTAATAACACGCTCAATAGTTTTCCATTTTTGACGCGTTTTTTTTCACTTCGAATTTAATATTAAA